AATTAATGACTTTTTTTTCCAAAGTAAAAATAATGAAACAAAATGCACCTATCGTACTTTTTCATGTAGTCGGTCAATGTGGTCTTTGAAACTTGCTTTGCCTTGAAAATGCTCAAAAGACAATGAACGGACTGAAATAAATAATTGTTCAGAATTAGGACTGAGCCAAAAAATGTTCACCACACAACTTCTGAACCACAGGCCGGTGAAAGCCTCACAGCTGTGGTTTGAATTTTGATTTTTGTAAAAAATTTTGTGTCATTTAAGTTTGAAAATTTAGATGCAAAGGCAGAAGGGATTTATTGAAACAGCCTTTTTTTTTAAATCATCACTTCAGGTGTTTGCAAGTATTAGTATCATCTTAAATTAAATCTGGCTTCATAGCTAATCCAATAAAACTTCACAGATCAAGACTTCATACTCTCCAGATTAATGATGACGAAAAACTACCGAAATTAAAGCAAAATCTAAATCCATTAGATATGGATTTATATGTTGGATTAAATTTCAGCCCCATAAACCATGAATCCATGATTATTCCCTGAAAAAACCCACAGTTCCCCACAATGTTAAAGACTATGACGATGTCCTGGTCCGTGCAAACGTTTACTGTGTTCCAGTGATTTCATGGAAATCCGTTCAGTAGTTTTTGCGTAATCCTGCTGAAAATCAAACAAATAAACCAACACACTATGGCTCTATGACTACTTTTTAATAGTTTAATTCTTTCTTGTCCCATTGTTCCACCAAGTTACGTGGAAATCCGTTCAGTAATTTTCACGTAATCCTGCTGAAGTTAATTAAATGTCAGAAAACATAATCGTTACTTTCAGAACAGAATTGGAAAAAAGCAGCTTCAGGACTGAACAGTTTCCTCTGAGCCGTCATTTATCATTAAAATGAAAAATAAAGACAAAGAGACAGGTCACGTTTACTTCTCCCTCCGCTAAAGCCTTAAATTTACTTTCCGACAAAGCGTTTGAGGTGAGCAGCTTTAAAAATTAATCGGACAAACTTACTCAGTGGACGGACGGGAAATGATTTTGGTCGGTGACAGAAGGTCAACACAGAAGGAAATGTGTTGGAGGGAAAGTTAATGAGAATTCCAGAGGATGTGTCTCCATCCTCAGATCATCTCCCCTCGTTAGAGACCCTTCACTCGCTCTGTTGTCCCTTTTTAAAGGTGAGAGAGAAACGAAACCTGCTTTTGTTCGAGCCTCTGAACGACGTTACGACGACACTTCGGGGATTTGTTGGCGGTTTTGGGGCCGATAACAAAGTCAACACCAGAGTAAGGGCTTCATTCTCAAAACACCACGGATCCGTTTTAAAAGAATGAAGACAAAAGTGCTTTCACCACGTCACATCAGCAGGTGCTTCTGTTTTCAGGAAACAGACGGAGGGGAAGGTTCATCTTTAGTTAGCAAAGTTTGTGTCGTAGCTTTTCGACGCTCACGACCAGAACCAGCATACTCGTACGAAAACGTTGTGGCGAACTGTTCAGTCTGCGCTCAGACGCTTAACTTTTTTGTTTATTTCATTTTTCATTTGCCGGAGTCCAGTCAGGCTCGTAAATGGACCTATCGTATTGAAGACGATGTGAATGCCAGAAAACGTTGATCCTTTTTATCTCCACTGAGGCTTTACTGTATTGTATCGGTTGACATTCATCTTGTATTATATATTTTCTTTTCTTTCTGGAATTGATTTTTATTTGTCTTTTTTTTTTTTTTTTTGTCCTGAATTTGTACATTTCTTTTGTATAATTCTTATTCTGATGATTATTTGTCTAGCAAAGTGTTGTTTAGATCTGGTGATGCCATTACCATTGGTTGTTTAGTTGTTTGAAATGTGGTTAACATGAAATAAAAGGGACCAAAATGTTGAATCTGATCTTGTCTCTTTCTGTACAACCTCGTATTGTGAATAAATTAACCAGACCGGGCGCCTGCTGCTGGTTTTAGAGCTTGTTTCCAGATATAACACAGACTGAACAAAGTTCCAACAACAAACTTTCTGTTATTTTGTGTGGAATCGTCATGATTTCGTTTCAATTTGGAAAAAGTTTGTGCTTTAAGTCAAAACAAGTTCTTTAAAGTTGTGGTTCAGGATGTGAAACTACGATGGATTCTGACCTCGATGTTTTTCGTCGAGTGGATCCACTTTTCTTTCAAACACGCCTTCAGGGAGTCGATGTAATAATAAAGCCTCGGAGGATGGGACTGCGTGTACGGGATCCTCAAAGACGTAAAGCTAACGATAAGTGTCGGGCAATTTGTCAGCACTACACGTTCCGTTAGTTGAACAATTTTGCTCTAGAATCACGTCAGGTAGATTTTCGCCAGCAAAGTTCACGAAAACAACAACTCCCATGATCCCTCACAGCTTTTAAAGCAACTTTGAACGAGGTCTTTTGTTGTTGTTTTGATTGATTTGATTGAGAGACCCCTTGTGGCCTGAGATACAAATTATTCATTTAATCGTTAACTCTACTGGAAGCCGACGAGACAGTTTGTAAAGAAAAACTCCGCGGTTAGAAAGTAAAGGTTTATGTACACTGAGAAAAACATGCTCGCTAACTTCAGTCTATTCATCTGCTGTTCAATCTGGAAATTTCCACCTTTTGTTTGCCTGAGCCTCGATTATGATCCTCGAGCTGCAGAGAGCAGAGGAGGAAAAAACACACGGGTCTTTATAGGCTGATTTCTTTTCTTTCTAATCAATCAGAGTCAGTGATGAACACAGCTCCGAGCCAACGGCCTCATCCTTTATTTAGCTGGTTGATTCCCAAGGAGCTCATTAATATGCATGAATCTGCGATTAGCATAGGCACCAAGGACAGGGCCTGTACCTTGGCATTATGACGATCAATCAGAAACACTAAGGGGCTCCTCAGAGGGAAGCTGTCTGTCAGCTCGGCTTTGGGCTGACTTGATGCATGCGCGCACACATTGGGAAAAAAAAGGTACGCTGAAAGCATACATAACGCACATGCATCACACAGAAGTCTGCGGAAAGATGCATCAACACATCGGGAGGCAGAGAGAACGCACAAGAAGGTTCGGACGAGAGATGCACGCACACACACACGAGCGACAACGTGCATCATTCGTCTCATATTCTTTGCTCTGTTTCTCTTTCTGCTTCGGTCCTTTTCCAGAACTGAGTTTGTAATGACTTTGAAAATTGGCCCATTTCATTTACTCTCACTGACGCGCCATTATCCGAGGAGGAGGCAGGAAGGAAGGACGGGTTCACGGTGCCACCTTAATATATATTTTCCACTCTAACGGGGTTATTATTATAATTTGTCCTGCAGAACTTGTTACAAGGTTATTTTGTGTCTGCAGCAGATCCTCATCCATCTCCACGTGCTCCATTTCCAGGAGATCCAGATTCATCTGTTTTCTCTGGTCAACGCTGGTTAATCCACCTTCACACATTTGTTCTGCGTCTCTGCAGCGACACTGACGCCTCAGTTGTGCCTCTGACTTTTGGTTTCTCCAGCAGCAGCTTCACATCCAGAGCTCAGAGTCGCCA